GGCTGTGAATTCGCATTTATGAGAATGAAAGATACAACCTTACTGAATATAAGAAATCGTGAAGAAGCGTGCTATTCAGTCGAAGAATCGAACAGCTTATAACTTAAGGAAGCTGACTACAGAAAGAAAAAGATTTTAGAAACATTAAGAGTGTGGCAAATCCATATCGAGAAAAATAGTCCAAAAGAGGAGGACCTGCATAATTAACTCAAGCTCGCTGGAAATCGGTTTGTCTATGATGAGGACTATTGCGCGTGTTGGAAACGTCTATCCAAATAAGCGTATTCGTATTTGTACCTTTAGCAACTGGATCAGAAGACCTTCTGTTTGAAGACTTGTTATTTTGTGTTTATTTTGAAGATTTAATATGTATTCACATACATGTATTTCGTGTTTCGTGTTGCGTGCCTTTTACGGGTGCTACCATTGTGCTGAATCCAGAGCAAAACAAAACTGTGGTACCGATGATTGATTTGCAGAAGCAAGAAACAAGCGGCGCCGTCATTTGGAATTTTTCAAGGTTCCTCTTGCGCTAATAATAAGGCATTGAAAACAGCGCAAAACAATTTATTTGTATACAATGCAAACAGGTTTTCTCAATCGAATAATCTATCTGTATCGACGTTTCAACCAGTGCTTCACGGGCCTTTTGTTTCGTTACGTGGTTGTAAGTTTCGGAAGTTCTTTTCGGTCGTTCATAGCTGCTGTAAAGCTTGCAGCCGGAAGACCGTGAGATAGGTCAGCCGTCAGTCATCCGATTGACTGTATTTATTTGCGTTGTGTATACATAAATTTTCTTTTACTGCTTTCAGTAAGCCCACCAACGCACTAACTGAATACTTAATCTGCGTTCTACCCTACTGGCATTTTCCACATTAAAAGCTGTCTAAAAAATTTCGTTCGAAATCTGTGACTAGCATTCAGATGATTCTGCCTATCGCGTATCGATCGTTGCTCGGCGAAGTTAGGTGAATGCCAAACCTGACCACTAGCGGCACACTCACGTTTGACCAGCTAGCAAAGTTTCGAATTCATGTTCGTTTGCCTTGGTGGTCTTCCTTCGTTCGTTGTTCAAACCTTTGACGAGCTTTTTACGTTCTGCGTTTGTTTGATTTTCCGAGATTGTAACCTACTTAATCAATATACAATTAATAATTAATTAGTGACGTTCCAGCTGCTTACCTCGGTGTCTTGATTCAGATCCTCAAGGATTTGGAAGGCAGAAAATAACAAAAACCATATGCCAACTTTGAAGGCATTTCTCGTTTCTCTTTGTAATTCAGGAGAATTGGTCGTACATCTGCCATTCTTGTGATCTGTCAATCATGGAGATTGCGTGGCGATCGATTTGTGGCTTTCTCGGCTATTGAGCGTTTATTTAATTTGGATTGAATAACGTTATTTTCTGTGCGGAAAAT